AGAGAGAGAGAGAGAGGGAGAGGGAGAGAGAGAGAGAGGGAGAGGGAGAGAGAGAGAGAGAGACTTCGACTGTGGGAGTCATAGAGAGAGTAAGTAACAAGGTCGCTTAAAAAAGTTCATAATTAATTGCTCCAAGCTATGTTTAAAAATATTTTTCTCGTGAATATTTAAACTTTGGGCACAATATGCTAAAAATATAACGCTAATAAATTGTCAGCGATTTTTACAAATCAATTCACATAATGCGATAAATAATGCATTAAATACCGAGAATACTGTGTTTATTATAAGGGACTAGGATTTCAGGTTTGTTGAATTAATATGAATTTTTTATACATTAGGAATGACCTTGATGGTATCGTACAAAACACATTTTATACACCAATTAGCTCTCTCTCTCTCTCTCTCTCTCTCTAAATTGATTTTCAATAAAGTGATAAAAATTAAAAACAAAAAATATAATAAAAGCTTAATATAGCTGATTAAACACATCTAAAAAGTGTAGATATATAAATTTAACAATTAATTAAAATTCTATCATACAGGCACTTTTACACTCTTTATAATAATTTTAATTTATTAATACAAAAAAAGTTAACTTATGCTTGCCTCTATGAAGTTAATAATATTTATTATATTAATAGCCGGATCACTATGCGATGACAAATGTCGCAATCACACGTTAAGCACCAAAATGTCCATGGTTGAATTCACGGTTCAGGCACTGGTCACTGGACGCGAGACATTAAACGGCACTTTTGGGGAACTCCGTCAACGGCAAGAATATCTCCGCTATACTGTCGACATACAGGTGCTCTACAAGTGCACCAGTAGCAAAGTGAAAGAGGCCTTGGATAAGGGCTATATTCATAGCCAGGGCGGGTGGAGTTTGGAAATGGATGTTGGTACATCGTATATAATTAGCGGATATAATACATACGGTACTATATGGGCGCATAAATGCTACTTTTTTAAGCGAGTTAATGAATTAAATAGCGAGGAGATTGCACTGCTCAAGTCATTGAATTCAAATGCAACTGGATCATCTATTTCTAATAACACAATTGCCTGAAATTATTGATTATTTTTATTATACAGTGGCTTTTATATGTTGATTAAAATAAATTTAATATAATGATTTAGTGTTTAATTTTTTTTATTTAATGCATAATGTTACAAAACAAAATATTACAGTATATTTTTTAAAAATTAAATTTTTAATTTATTAAATGATATTTTTATGATTTAGAATAATTTATTGATTAACAAAATTAAACATTTGCCACCCTGATACCCCTTTTGATCAAAAAGGGAAGCTATTAAATGTTATTAAAATAACAAAAATATAAAAAACATTTTGTATGTTATTAAGTTTTATTTAATTATCATAAGCATGGGAAACCTTTATCATAATAAAATATTTTATATTATTTAACATTATTAATTTCTCGGTAATCCACGAACAATATGTTAAACATATTTCAAAGTCACTGTCAAGGTATTTATACCGTATAATTTAAAATCAATCAAATATCCATACACATTTTATTTAGCTATCCACAAGTTTACGTAATAGAGTATAAAATTCAATTTTAAAATTTTATTAAAAATGTACTTACATTAAATTCTAAAGCTAATGCAATTAATAGCTAGTTCATTATGTTATTCGTGCACTTACTCTACCTTATCCCAACAGTATACAGATTTTGATTGTAGGCTCCATGTGCTCATCACAGATAGGGACACCATCAGCACCGGTACCTATGGCATCGGCGATCAAACATAGAATAATTATATTTTTATTTTGAGTCAAATATTATCTTAAAACTATGCATTTTTATGATTTAAAAAAATTGATTATCTATGTAAACTCTGTACTTAATGCAAACATTACGACATTTATTGTATGTAGTTTAACAATGAATTTTACTTATCTAAAAGTGTTTAATAAAAATTTTGTAAACATATTTCAAAATCTATGATAAAACAAAATATGCATTTCTATAATGCATCATCGTGTAATTAAAAGCAAACGTGATCACTTCATAATAAGCAATTACTGAGACCAAGGTGTCTGTATCTAAATTTTAAGGAGTAACCCAGAACCACTTATCGAAATTATAGTTTAGCATGCTTTATTTATATCAAATGCATAAAAACTTAGATATTTCGCATTTCACTAACAGTATAAGGTTAAAATATATACATGAATTATTTTTTATATAAACTATTATTTTTTGTAGTGCTATCATAAGACCATATAAAATAAGATTAAACTTAAATGTCAAGATCAATTTAATACCTACTTCAAGATTAGCAAACTATAGTCCAACAATTATACAGTATATAAAAGGTAAAGACTTTAATTAAAAAACACAATTAAAGACTCGTTTTATTAAACACATATAAAATGCTAATTATATTCGTTTACGCGTTGATTACTGTTTGCGTGAATGGTTTAACACTAACGCAAAGCGACGTCGAGAGCCAATGGATTGCATTTAAGGTATAAATGAAAATTCAAATTATAATAATAAAAACTGTAAAACAGTTTGTAATAAACATTATATTTTTCAGAAACAATTTCGCGACACAGACTACCAGTCCATAGGGTCGAGCGACGAGTCCATACGGCGGCAGATATTTGAACATAACTACAGAGATATCGTTAATTATAATACAGAGGCTGAACAGGGTTTGCATAGCTTTAAGCTCGGGGTCAATCAGTTCACAGACTGGACTACCGAGGAGTATCAGAGTTGGCTAAATAAATTTGACCATGGCACGTTTGCAACGAAATCAAACGTGAGGCCAGTTAGCTCAAATAACTCCCTAATCAAACTACCTGATAGTGTGGACTGGAGACAAAAAGGAGCTGTCACACCTATCAAGGATCAAGGAAGTGTATGTAATACGTATATATTAATAATTAATACTTTAAATTACTATTAATTTTAATTAATTGTAATCTATAAATTTATTTAGTGTGGCAGTTGCTGGGCATTTGCGGCAGTAGGTGGCATTGAAGGTAATTATAATTAATTAATATAATCTTAATTTAGTATACATTTTAAATGTTAAAACTTTCATATAATTAAATTTGGTAACAAGTTTTCAAATAATACTACTTTTGAAACTAAAAATATTGTGCCAACATACAAGTTAAACTATTAACAATTAGTCAAATCAATATGCTTAATTTAAAATATAATTATATTTAATTTAATTTATTTTTATGTTACATTTATTTTCCTAATAATTTCGACAAAAAACAATTTAATTTAACTTTCAACAGGCCAAATTGCAATTAAGCAAGGCAAACTATTGTCATTATCTGAGCAGGAGCTACTTGACTGCACGTATTCGGGCACCGGCTGTAATGGTGGCAGTCCTACCGAGGCGTACAACACACTGGCCCAACGGCTACACGGTATCCAAAACGAGCAAACCTACCCTTACCGGGGTGTAGCCGGGACATGTCGGGCCGACGTATCACGTAGCGTGGCCAAAATTCAGCGTGCTCACACCATATTTGGCGGTAATGAGGCCCTCCTACAGCAAACCATAGCCAATGTGGGACCGGTAGCTATTTGTTTCGATGCTAGCCTGGCATCGTTTAAGCAATATAGTTCCGGTGTGTACAGTGTATCAGGGTGCGATACTTATAATTCAAATCATTGCGTAACTGTGGTGGGCTATGGCACAGAAAGTGGCCATGATTATTGGCTACTCAAGAATTCGTGGAATACCAGGTGGGGAGAGGCCGGGTATATGAAGTTAGCAAGGAACCATCATAATATGTGCGGGGTTGCCAGTTGGGGTGTCTATCCTGAAGTGTAATATCAATTAAATGCTAGTTAAATGTTATTTAATTAAAAAGTATCAATAAAATGATTGTAACTTAAATATTGAGTGTAAAATAAAAATTAATAAAAAGTTTATTAATGTACAAAAAAAATTAAAAACAATTAAAATAAAATCTATATAAATTGAATTATAAAAATAGGATTTAATTTTTGTAATAATGATTTAACCTGGTTTAATGCGTGTAATTAAAAGTTTAAAAATAATAAACTATAAAAAAGTTTATCTATTTTTATGTGAAATAAATAAATAAAATTATAGACTTATTGAAACACATTTAGCCATCTATTGGTTTCATATTTTATTATTTTAAATAATATTTTAATTTATAAATCATGTTTTAATTTAATTTTAATTTTAATTACATTGGGTGAGTTAGCATAGGAGATTAACACGTAAATGAATTTATAAATATGTCTAATTATAAGCATACTTTAGTTTCTAATTTATTTTTAGTGCAATCGAAAATAATTAACAAATTATATGATATAAACTGGCTAGTTTTAACCAAGATATTTTTGATAGATGTATATACAAATTAAATTGTTTGTGCATTGTTGAGATAACCATGCTCGCATTAAGCTCGTTATACGAGTACAGCAATCAAATCAAACAGATTTTGCACTAATTTTGTGTGATTTATATTTCCTATTCAATATAATGTGAAATAAATTAGTCAATTTATAGACTTTATCAAAGTAATAATTTAATACTAACCTGTTTAAATAACTAATTACATTTTATTGTTAAATAAATAACATATTTTACTATATGATAGTACTGTATAAGTAATTTCTGCAATTTACAAACATTGATACTTTCATGTATTGAATTAAATAAAATATTATAAATAGTATCTAAGGTTATTAAACATGAATTTATTACAAATTTTGACTTTGGTTTTCATCCCAATGTAGAAGTTTGTGATAAAAAAGTCCCGCTATTGTAGGAAAAATTTTGCCACAATTTTCTTCATAACATTTGTATTTATTTTCTCTTTTCAAGTGAATATAACTTTTGTGTCGATTTAGTAATTGTTTTGTTGTAAACTGTTTGCGACATTCACTCCAATCGCATACATATCTCACGTTTGAATGAATGATATTTTTATATTTATTTAAAATCTTTGTTGATTTATGGTTTTTATAACATTTTTAAAATTCATAATTACATCGTTTAATACTTAAATGTCTTAATTGGTGTTGAAGTAAACCACTTATAAATCGGCTCTTGAATTGGCATTTAGGCCCAAAACAGTGGAAATATCGATAAGTGTTGAGTGTATTAATGGTGTTGTGATTGGA